GGCCCCACTTCTCCTCCAACCTCATCCCCTCTCCTCCACCGCCAACCGCCGGCCCCACTTCTCCTCCAGCCTCATCCCCTCTCCTCCACCGCCAACCGTTGGCCCCACTCCTCCTCCGACCCCATCCCCTCCCTCTCCCCCCTCCTCCGACGACCTATAGGTGAGTTCTAATACTCTAAATTTTTCATCCTAAATCCTTAGGAGTTTAGTTTTTTTTATATTTTATTAGTAAATCGAACTGCGAACAAGATTGTAGGCGTCAAAAATTGCCCACGGATTTCCGCACGCGGCTCGAGACAGAGAGAAGACAATGAACGTCACTATCCGGGTCACAGAAGCTTAATTGATGTCGATAAACGCATGAAGCAACAGAACTACAGAATAACGAAGATACGAACTGATCGGGAGCTACGCTTCGCTTACGAAAGACGAAGCGCTCCTCGTGTCTCATCTACTCCACATGTGATTCAACCATGGGAGCTTGTAGATCTCCTCGTTGTCTTTCCTTCACACTTTGAATCGGGCAATTCCGAGTTCGGACGACGAAGATACGACGAAAATGGACGAGACGCACAAAACAATGCCCCTAACCTTAGCGGAGACACCGCGAGTGTCTCGGACTTAGCCGAGACACCCAAGGTGTCTCGGCCAAGGCCGAGACACCGCGGGTGTTCGCAGACCCAAAAACGTTGTTTTGAGCCGTTTTTCGACCGTTAACCGCTTGGATTTGTTCCAACTGATCTAATATTATCCTAGAACGTGATAAAGTGATTATAACTGAGGATAAGAGTGAATTAACCATTCTTATCTGAAAACGGAGGTCCCGAAGCCTATAAATACAGCCCTAGGGCCTTCATTTACAGAGATATGGAATTCTCGAGCTTTGGCGAAGCCCTGTCGGTTAGGAGACTAAAGGAGCACGAATTTTCAGAGAGGAGAAGGAGATCTCGGCGACTCATTCAGCATAAAGAGGAATAGATCGAGAGATCTGCATCCAGTTCATCTGCTTCCCTCGAAATCGTACCTAGCTGCGATTCTCGAAAAGAGTGGGTATCTTGCTTTGTCGAGATATTCACTTAAGTTTAATTCTTGTCTCCTTTGCGAGGCAACGAAACCGTTCTTTTGATCTGATCGCTCGATGGTCCAAGGATTAACCCCGACACAGGCAAAGATCCCACGCAAGTCGAAGGCCGATAAACGATCTCTGCGTGTGTTCTCAGGAAATCTTTCTGTTTCTTTTCATTGTAAGGAAAGTCTTATAAAAAGACTTGATTTTTCTTTTATTTTGAATCTTTGTAACGCTTGAAGTTGTAATGGATTCAAAAGTAATGAAACCGATTTCCGATGCGAACACGCTAGCAACCACAGTGGGAGCCAATAGCCTTAGCTGTCGTGCCGCAGCCGACGATCAAGATCCCCGTGGCTGAAGAGGGCGAAGGGAGCCAATAGCCTTAGCTGTCGTGCCGCAGCCGACGATCAAGATCCCCGTGGCTGAAGAGGTCGAATACGAGTTCGACCAATAGAAGTTCGAGGAGTACGTCTCCTCCTCCTCCTCCAGATCCACCTCTCCTTGCAAATGCAAGAAGGTATCTTTCTCCCGAAAGATCCGCTGGTCTTCAGATTTGAAGACCCAAGAAGGCGATCTCCCCGCTACCGCTGTAGCAATAGCACCTCGCGATGATCCGCCGACGTTCGATGAAGCCAAAGCCGCAAATACGGACACTGACTCCATTAAGGAGTTGACTGCTAAAGGCGCGCCAACTTTATCGAAGAGAACTCGTCAGAGGCACCATCAACGTCTCGCTCACCAATTTGCTAAGGCTTTAGAGCAAGTGGATGGGCTCCGCTACCAAGAGGATCTGAAGTCCAGGAGACGCCAAGTGGCTAAACCATCGCCACAGCAAGCTTCGGGATTCTTCTCCAAATCACCTACTAACGAATGGATTCGTGTCAAACGGAACCGTCCACTCTGCAGGAGCGCATTCAGAAGCGCCGCACACTTCTTACGCACGCTCGGATCCTTGTGAAGCACAAGTAATGCAGAAAGAAAAGGCAGTTAAGAAATCGCCCAAGTATAAATGGGTTTGGATGCCAAAGGTCAAATCAGTGCCTAAGGCAAAAGTAGAGGAAGTTACTATTCAGCCTTCGTTAACTTCAGATCCCGTTCCTCCTGCTCCCGCACCTCCGACGAAGCCCTACGACAACGTGGATCTCTCCAAATTCAGAATTTCATTGAAGGATCACCTGGGTCCTCTACATGAAGATCGAGACAAAACTCCTGTCAAAGAACGCTTAGGACCGGTGAACAAATCCCGAGCGACTCTTTAGGCTGAGGGTCGTACATGACCTCTCAACAAGACTATTCCTATATCGCCCGCTTGGGGGTGCGTATAGAAGGCCAGGAGCCCGTTAGGGTTTCACCATCACAAAGGTGTGATTCCAAATGTGTGACTCCTGCAAACGCCAACAAGGTAACAAATCCTTAGAAGGAAACGTGTTTGTCAGACGACGACGTTATACCTGAGAAGTCGTGCCAACACACGATAGATTGCTCCGGTCGTCACGCCGATGAGTTGTACTATCAAGCTCGGGGTACGAATAGATCTCGAAAGAGAGATATCCGGGGGACGAACTTTCACTGTCCGTGCATCAAAATTATCCAGGCAGTATTATTAGAATGTAGCTGCCCCAAGACCGTTCCCTAGAGGGTCTCCGTATTCCAAAGGCTTTCCCTTGAAGCGTTGAAACCATGGTTGACAGGCGGTAAGTCAAGGCGTTTCTATAAAAGAAAGTCAACCGGTCAAGATAACGAATTCCCTGAAATCACTATCAACATGGTTGACAGAGGAAAGTCTGCGATTGCTTCAAACAGCTCTAATCCTGACTTTTCTTCGGGAAGAAAAGTCAATTTAGGAATAGCCCAACGAATGTCTTGGCTCCAGCTAGAAGCCATCAAACATAGGGTTGACCCAAGGATGCACAAATGACTGTTTTCAGAGGATAAACTTTCAGATACTTGCTCCGCAATTGTCTCCGACGACACAATGTCTAGCGTGGGACAAGCTCGGGAAGTGTTTATGATCAACACCGAGAAAATGGCCAAAATCATCGAGGATGCTTTGGCTAAGCAAAAAAGAGAACTTCAAGTTCGAATTAAAAATGACTATGATGCGGATGAAGGAAGAGCATGGCCAACAGATTCGGGCTTTGTCCAATCAACTTGGTGAATCCAGCCGTCATAATATTGCTAACCAAACAGGTAGCGATTCAGACGTGAATGAACACCTCAATGCTGATAATCCTCCCATTGATCAAAACGCTGAGGGTGACCCTACTGAAGACAACAATGCTAGGGGTGGTCCCACCGAAGATGGCAATACCGGTGGTGGTCGCGTTGTTCCTCTCAGAAACCGTCCAAAGCATGATACAGATGAGGGCGAAAAGATGAAAGATATCGAGAGTAAAATCAACGCTCTGATGTCTGCTCGAGAGGTGAAGAAGACCAGTATTCTATGTCCTTACCCGAGAGAGTGGGAGTCGATCCCGTACCCGACGAAGTTTAACCTGATCAACTTCACGTCGTTCGACGGGAAGAGCTCGCCCACTCAACATCTGATCTACTTTAAGTCCCACTTGGGCATGATTTCTGGCAATGAAGCCTTGATGGTTCAGTCATTCGTGGGCACCCTTTGCGGGGCTGCCTTCGATTGGTACCGTCGTCTCAAGCCTGGAAGCGTAAACAGCTGGGATGATATGGAAAGCTTATTTCTCGGAAATTTCTTTGATGATGACACCGAGGTATCAGTCAGGACGCTCTTTGAGGAGAAACAGGAAGACAAAGAGACGGTCGACGACTTCGTCAAGCGCTTCCGAAATAAGGTGATGAATTGCCAAGATCCAGTCACAGAGGACTTCATCCTCCAAACCTGTCATAACAATCTGTCCATTGATATCTTGGAAGTTATGGGAGTAGCACCATCCAAGACTTGGAGAGAGTTGAAGGCGCGCGGAGAGCAGACCAAATGCTTCCTCAAAAGGAAGAAAGCCGAGAGAATCCAACCAACGGCTAACCCTCCAAATCAAACTTCGCCTCTCGTGGAAAGGGGAAGGCACCTGCACCAACTGTTAATGTTAATCAGACATTATAGCAGCAACCCGGGAGACAGCAAAAGACTTCGGATCCAAGACTTTAAAAAGAGTACTCATTCAAGGACGAAGACGTTCCGACCATTTTTGAATCCCTCTTCGAAAATAACAAGATCAAGCTGCCACCTA